TATATATATAAATGGAAGATAAACATCAATGGTTATTCATAAAAGTAAAGTTTGAACTTTTTTTCATCAGTTTGTCTTCAGATTTTACAGCATTACCATTAGGGAGCAGTCCATATTCTGCTGAACATGACTGAGAAATAGATTTATAAATCAATTTAAGGATGATTGTGGCTTCATGAAAAATGATTTTTGAATATTATAAATTCTAATTATAATTTTTAAAAAAGAGAAGAAATTAATATATTTTTCTTTTATCTTATTTCATGAAATTTTAAAACTACTTACATACTAAAAAATAAAGGGATAAAAAACGCTTTATTTGTGCTGATTTCATCGTATGTTCAAGTTATCTTTTTAAATAATTTTTTCAACAGTTACAGCCTTAAATTTCCATGTGGGTATTTAAAATCCCAATATTTTCATAAAATATTTTTACAACTTGCAAGATTCAAAAAAGAAAGGAATGTGCAAATTTCAAATTATTTACTATTGTTAACTTTGTTTCAAATTTCTTGAGATTGAGAAGTGCTTTTAAGGAAGTTTATTTAATATTTAACCATCAAAAAACCTCTTATATTCACTAGATATAAATTTCCTAAATTTTAAGTATATTCCAAACTAAATATTGAATCCTATTTTGCTCTGTAATGGCTTTACTTCAATTACACTTGTTTTGAAATTTATGAATTTTCTCTAATTAATGAGTTTAATTTGCATTTTTGTTATTCAGTGAAATATAATTGTTTTAATTCTTTTTCTAGGAACATTTATAACTGTTTGAATTCCACATGGTTTTTTGTTTATTTCTTATCAGTTATTGCTTCTGATTTCTACATGGTATTTAAAAAAACTGCTATTTTTTAATTTGATATATTTATGACTTGTGAGACTTGAATTGAAATATACTGAGTAAACATTTTTTGACAAAACTTGATTAGAAGCGATTTTATTGTAAATCCATGTGAATTAGCTAATTGCTTTTTTGACAGTGTTGCTTCTAGTTACAATGGTTTCAAAATTCTTATTTCTTGTCTTACATTTAACATGATGATGTGAATTCTAATAGTTTTAAGATCTTTTTCCAGACAGTCAATCCACCTCAGTTTTGGTTTTCCTCTTTTTCGGGTACCAGATGGTTCGAATAAGTCATGGTGACTATTGTCACTCTGTTTTTATACTGGCTCAAACCTTAGCTATTAAACTTCTGGCACATATATTGAGATTAATTTATAAAAACACACTAATCTGTTCAAAACATCATTTTAAAAACTTTTGGGAGACAAATTTTTATTTTAAATTAAAACAAATGCCTCTACAGATTCTTCCAAATGTAGCTCTTCCATAATTGCTGCACTCACTAAGTCTTACATTTTCAATTTTTTGATAAACAACATATTAACTCTCCCTAGCATTAGATTTTGTTAGTATTGTTTTTATACTTTCAAGTGTGACTTGATAGTATTTTTTCAGGCAAGATTTTGTTGGATAACTTTTCAGTTTATTTCACAATATTTAGTATCAATATACAAAATATTATTGAAAAATTGATAATTTGGGCATCAATGAGTTAACTATAGAAGTCAACCTCTTTTTTTTTATGAAAAATAATTATATTTTTATTTTTACCTCAAGTCATGATGTATGCCCATGTATGTTTAAAATCTCAATTTTTTAAAGTTGAATAGGCCATCTCCTTCATTCTTAATGAAGAGAGAGCATCTAAGTATAGCTGATAGAGTATATAAGTATAGCTGATAGCATCTTGGTGTATTTGTTTATGTATTTGTAATTCTGTAATTAGCAGCATTTGTGCAATACTGAGTGGAATTAAAGCAATAAATTGACTAAATTTGGGGAACACTAATAAATTAGAAATGGATTAAGAGAATTTTTTGACAATTGAGGTTTCTCTGTATTTAGTTGAAAAATTAAGCACCACATTTATTTTAATATTTTGACAGAATTGAGAAAGACTATATTTATTTTTGTTATAAATGAGTCGATAAAATTAAAATTTATTGTCTTATTATTATATTATAATAATGAACAGTATTAATTATTTTGTTTACTTTTCTATATTTAGGTTCATCGATGGGTAAATGCAGAAAGTATGCTTCAGAAATGTTTTGTGGGTATTCTAAAAACACCATGGACTATTGAAGGTAAAGTAACTACTTTGTATTTTTCTTCAGTGTACTATTTTTTTTACTTGTCAGCTTTAAATAATTATTTATATGGTTTTTAGTTCCGAAATTGTTTCAAATGAAGCATCTAAAGTTTAAATCATCAAAGAAACTGTCTACAGGAGACTCGAGTGTTATGAGTAAGTTATGAGGGAGATAACTGAATGCATGAGTTATTTTACATTGTTTCTTTCTAGAGTTAACAATTACTAAAAGAGTACCACTTTAAATTAAATTGAAAGAGGTGCTAATTGACAACTTTGCATGATTGAAATAACATAAGCAAATATGAAATGCAATCCTGAAACATTTCATTTAGTAAGAAAACAGTTTATCAAATATAAATAAAAGTGTAAATCAAATCATTTTATGTAGTCTTTGAATGCTGATTAATTGTAAAGAGAATTCTTTATTCTGCATTGCAATTTACAACATTACTTATGGCCTTAAGAAGACCTATTACAAAGTATGACGGTATTGTAATGTTCATTTGTGACAGGTATTATACTTCACTTAGGTATTACAGATTATTATAATTGTGGTGCCATTCACAACTAATTTATATGTATAACATTTAAAGCATTAATCAAACATTATTTTTAAATTGAAGAGGTTTAAATTTCAATTTGATAAAATGAAAAGTGCCTTTTTATTTACCTAAATAATTAGAAAATGAGCTTTACTTTAACTTTTTTGATAATTGTTAAAAAGTTTTATTTATTATTTTTTTGCTTTGCTAGAATGCTGCAAAGAAGTTGACGTGAGAAAAGTCCTGTGTTACATGAAATTGCTTAAGAAATAAGCTTCCTTTTCATGTTTTTATTTTTATTTAAAGGATCATTGTAAAACATTACATATATGTATGTTTACTTGTCATTTTTCTACAGTTGTCTTTGATTTCTAACCACTCTATACTTTTAAAGTTTAAACAAGCATTCATTATTTTTAATTACTCTTTCTGTATGAAATTAGTTGCTCAATTTGAAAAGTTGCTTTAAATTATCAAAATAAAAACATAAATTCCAAGTTTAAACACAAGTTCCAAGTTAAATTATAAGTCCCAGGTTATAATTCCAAGTTGAAAATCCAAATTTTAAAACCAATGTGAATTACACTTATGCAAAATATTTTTTTACTTTCCACTACCCAGTAAGCCGAGGTGAGAAATTTCCACTCATCTGCTCGGTATTGGCGACCGAATATTTAGGGCTAGCGAGTAAGTAAAAGAGTTACACTCTAATTTAATATTGTTTGACTTAAGAATAACATAGTTTGACTCGAGATTTACCTAGTTTGATTTGAGAATAACAAAAACGTTGCTGGGCATTTTTGTGATTTAAAAGATGAAAATTCCTCAAAATCTATATAACTGGATAATTTAGAGAAAAATGTGCCAACTGAGAATTGCTTGTCAATATTTAGATGCTGAATATATTGATGAAGTTCTAGTTAGAAAAGATTTCATAGGTGTATCATGGTCATTGGTCTCTTTGGTGGAAATATTCTTGAAACAAAAAGTATAAAAGGATTCTTAGCTATAAATGTAAAAAAGTGTAGTTTTAAAATTTAAAGAAGGATCAAAAATGCAGTTGAAAAAGGGAGAAATATGCTTTAGTTTGCTGAAGAACCCATGCGAATTCCTTGGTGGCTAGTAGGAAAAATTATTTGAAAAAATGGGAACATTATAAAAGATATTGTGGAGGTTGGTATATTTGGTAACTCTGGGAAGAATCTGACTCCAACTCTAGTATAAATTTTCATGTGAAAGTGTTCATGAAAAGAATTATAAGTTTATGTCGTGTTACTCCATAAACAATGTTCCCAGTTCAAATAAGCAACTATCTTTATTAGCAGTGAAAACTTGGTAAATTTAACTAACCATTTTAATATAAATAAAATATAAAAATTTTATCATTAAAGCAGCATGGAAAAAACTGCAAATGAGTAACCGGCAAGAACATGCCTAACTGCTGAGTAGTTACTCAGGAACCGATGGAGAGAGAGAGTGTGAACTGTGGAGAGGCGGCCAAGATATATCAGAATGCATCCTGTGCGCGTTTCGCCGATTTTGTACTTCACGCATATACTCTGAGGAAATCTGCATTCAGTTGTGAGGTTTACGTCATACAACAATTATTGGCTGCAAGAGACGTAATCCAACGTCAGAGATTAGTAGATTCGGAATTTGCAAATTAGACCGCAACGCCACAATATAATGACAAAAATCTGGTGTTGTACCCATTCGAATGGATGGAAATATTGTAAGAGACCCAGCAGATCATGTTGCATTTGTAATTGTTGGAGCAAAAGGAAACATTGAAGGTGCTAGAATGTTAATGGACAATCATTTGAACCACCATTAAAATTTTTCGAAATGGAAAAAGTAAAGCTTAGTCAACTCAGAAGCCAAGGGGAAAAGGCTTAGATATCGTCGCCAAAATTCAAAGTTGAAACTTTTCTGTAGACGAGAGGGATGTAATTAGATGAACAATGTAGAAAAAAAAAGTAAGAGCTCCATGTCAGGCATACTCTTAGCAAAATGGTAATCAGTTAAATTGTAACTAAAATGTCCTCCTAGATAATTTTTGATTCATAACTATTGAAAGTTATATTTGTTCATTCAGATACATAAAAAAAGCTAATACTTCAAGTAGACTTTTATTTCAAATAAGTATTTATAGATACAGATTATTAAGTTTATTCTTTCAGTTTAAAAAAAATAAGAAAAGGCTTTACCTAAATATTATGGAAAAGTATAAAGAAACCTATTTAAATTTTTTAACTATCTTGTAAGCATTAATTAAAAAGTTACTATTCATTGTTTATTTTCTTTGTTAATGATTACTTGATATTTAAGAGTAATACAGTGTAACGTCCCATATCCGGACGTCCCTTTCCCGGAAGGGTCAATTTCCCAGACACTTTTTACCAATCAAAATAAACAAACATCTCTCCATTTTCCCCTTTCCTAAAAAAAAAGAAAAAAAAAAAAAGGTCTTTTGACACATTTTTTCTTTTTCTAGCTTGCACTGAACCTCTGATTTATGCATCGACCCATAAATCACCAGAAAGGGGAAGTGAAGATCTACCAAGACCATTGAGTGACCTTTATTGACGCTCCTCCCTTGGAATGTAGGAAAAAGAGGAAGATTTGTTTTCAAAGGACCGCAATTGAGTCCCCTACCCATCCCATGCAGGTGGCTAGTAAAACAGGCATTTCCTGAAACCTTTTTATTGCAAGAAGAAATACTGCCCCGCCTTTATGCTTGATTGATAGTCAATGATTGGAGAGAAAACAATAATTTGTTACTTCCCCCACCCTCAACTTAAATGATCTCCTCTTTACACTTATTTTCTTTCACAAATAAGGAGGAAATGAATTTTTCTCCTCCACCTACCCACCTTAATGAATGACGGGAATTTCCCTTTCTTGCTTGAATCATTCTAGTTAAAAATGGCGGATTATTATTTTCATTTGTCAATTTTTTTTCGTTTTCTATATTTCAAGCAATAATATTTTTTTCTAATATTTCATATTTTATTGACTAGATATTCTAATACTAAAACATTATTCCCCTAAAAAATAATGTTTATTTATTTTTTACTTTTTAGATTTAGATAATTTTAAGCTTTGTTCCAGAATGACATGAATTTCCTCTTCCTGCTTGAATCGTTCTAGTTCAAAATGGCGGATTAATATTTTCATAACTGTTAAATTTTTTTCGTTTTCCATATTTTCAGCAATAATATTTTTTTTCTAATATTTTATATTTGATTTAGATATTCTAATGCTAAAACATTGTTCCCCTTAAAAATAACGTTTATTTATTTTTTGCTTCTTAGATTCAGATCGTTTATTAAATCATTTTAAGCTTTGTTTACCTTGGGGGTCTATTATACGGAAAAATCTATTATACGGACTTCTGGAAGTCCCACCGATTCCGGATACGCGACTTTACACTGTAGTTACAAATATAATGTTTTGACTTTACTTATTTCTATGTATCATTAATGAACAATATTATACGTTCATTGCATTTGTGCTTTAAAATTCCGCATCAGAATGAGTAAGTCTTAATAAGTTGTTGATAATTATTTTAGGTAAAAAACTAAATCGACCTAACTTTTTGTTACAGAAGGTGTACACTTTAAATAAAGGTACATTTTTTACTTTGAACATCTCACTCTTAATGTATCTAACTGGGATCAGTACAATTACTTTTGAAAATAGCCTTATTAAATTTTAATTTCATTTTTGATCAGAAGAAATCCTAAATTTTTTTTTTATCAAAAGTGAACTTTTGAAATTTATAAAATATTTGTACAAAATAAGAGCAAATTTGAGCTTAAAAACTGTAAATTTTTATTTCAGACTAACAGTTCTACTTTAAATTGTAATCCATAAATATCAAAATAATTTTTTTTTCTTAATCAATCTTGTTACTTCTGTTTTGAACTAAAATCTTTACAAAAATTCAAAAATACAGTGAAATTGAACGGAATGTATTGTTCTATCTTGATTTTTTTCAATGAAACATTTTAAACATTCTTACTGAAAGTGTGATAAAAATAATAAATTTTCACTTAGACAATGGCTCATAATTCAAAACACAGCTAACATTATACAACATCTACATACAAAGTTGCAAAGAGTTTTATATTTTCTCAAAATCACCGTTTTTCAGAAAATGCAATTAAAGTATGTAATTGCTTAAAAATGTCTGTTGGCATGCAAAAAAAAAAAAAAAGCTCTTAACTTCATTTTTAAATAACGGAGAGCAAAAATTTAGAAAGCTAATGAACATAAGTTCAAATAACAATAAATTTTTGAAAAAAATGAAATTTTCTTACAAATTGCTGATTTTTAACTCATATACCTTAAGCAAATAGTTTTCTCTGTCTCACAAGCATTCATTTTACTTAAGTTTCGCAGTGTGATGATGATTATTTAAAAAAAAAATCCATCACAAAATGGCAACTTTTCATATTCATTGTATCAAAGCTTGAGGTCTTAGATAAAATTTTGATTCAATATTAGCAAATTAATGAATAAATAGAAAAGAAACAAACCAATTGACTGGTTTGCTCTTAAGTTGTTATCAGTAGTAGTTTTAAAAACATATTTTTGGATAAAAGGATTATAATGTTCAAATAAACTTACACTTATAAAAATCTGTTTCTTCTTGAGATTATCATCTTTAAGATTTAAAAATTATAAAAACATATTAAGAATCTAAGTCTTTCCAAAAATGCATTAAGTAAAATTGATTTTTTAATCTTGATAAACTCATTTGTAAGCGTTAAGTAGAAGTTTTAAGAAATTATTTAAAGAATATTTTATAACATGATACTGTTTTCAGTTGAATGTGACAATTCCGAAGAGGTGAATAATAAGAGCTTCCAAGTCAAATCTCAGTGGTCTATTTCACCATTACCAGAATCAGATTCAAAGGAGGTTTCCATCAGGTTAGTTTTTTCTATAGTTCTTCATATGTTTTTATATTTTTAAAAAAATGGCATCTTTGAAGTGTCATTATTTGATGAATTTTTTTTCTTGTCTATGAATGTTTTTATTTTGGACTAAATCTTTATAGAATAATGTAACATTTTATAAAATTCACTGGTGAATCAAGTAATCACATTTAAAGTTATTGGAAAAAGTAATATTAGAGCTTTTAAAAATTTTACAAAATAATTCTTTTGTTATATTTATTTTTGTTATATTTTTTTGTTATATTTATTAATTATAATAGGATGAGGAAAAATTTCACATTTTTATTAAACATAATTAGTAAGCCCTAAAGGGCTCAAGGGATAGATTTCCCAGTGATATGATCAAGGCTTATATCCCAGTGATGATTGTTCTATTTGATTTCTGTTCCTGGTTTGCATCAACCAAATTGTTGACTTAAAATATCCTCAGGGATTAGAATCCCGCACCATCTAGCTAACTTTGGGAGTTTTTTGTGGTTTTTCCTCTCCATGTAATATAAGCATATGTTAGTTCCATTAAGAAGTCCTCCACAGAGGCTAGTTTCCCTAACACTTGATCCACTTGGTCGGGTTCAAATTTATGAGGATACAAAGTTGATCAATAATTATTATCAAATGCTATTTTACTTTAGTAGAGCAAGAATATACTGCAGGGTACTAATTCAAATGCAGTCATATCCTGGTCAGTCATGCAAAGAGAGCATGTTGAAGAGTCAACAATTTTTAAATGAAAAAGATGGGCATAAAGACAATCGTGCCCTGTCAGGAGTTTAAAAGTTACAACTGTAGCTGAACGAGGTGAGTCAGGAACAAACTGTGGTTTAGAGAAGAGTGTATTCCAAGGTTTTTCTCTCGGAAGATCCTGCAGGAAGCACTAACAAATCTTAAAAAGTTTCAATTTAGCTGAATGGAATCTCAAGTTACCAGAACATTTCTGGGGATCTAAAGATCCCTTCTTGGCAAGGTAGTCAGCCTTCTCATTCCACACAATGCCTGGGTGGGAAGGGATTCACTGAAAAGACACTTTATTATAGAGATTCTCGAGCAAAGCCCTGCATCTATCTCAGGATATGGGAATTCTTAACCTCTTTATTGCGAATGAGCTTGTTATGCAGGAATAGACTCAGAAAGCTCTTTCAAAAGAGTCTCGTCAAATGTAAAGCTGTTCGATTCTTACAAGAATTAACTGTAACTCTCCATCAAAATGAGTCATGAAATTTTCAGCCAAGAGATATAAACAAAACTCTTCACAAAAGATTAAAGCTTTTTGTGAAAAGTCAGAAAGCGAGTCTTCTGTGTAGACAAGTAACTAGTGATCAGAAGGATAACAGTTGTGAATGGTCTCTAAAGCGATCAGAAGGCCCTGGAAGAAATATCTGAACAAAGTTGAACAATGTTCCCTGCGGCAGAATTGTTTCGAGCTATCTACAGCGAAATTCTCTTATATTTTGTTGGGGGAAAAACTCACTATTTATTTCCTTCTTCACATTTCTTAAATAATCATCTCAATAAAAAAATAAAAATCATGAAATCCGTTGCCGAAAAGAAGATTGGAGATGAAATCTCACGAATAGGACTCCTAAAAAAAAAGATTACTCAAATACGTGTTTCGTTTCGAGATTAGGTTGTTGTAATAAATAATATAGTATAAAAAATATTGGATTTAAAAACTATGGAGAAATCAATAGCAATAACTGCCAAAAATTCGATAGATTCATTGCCATAAAAAGTAAATACTCAAATGTGCGATTTGAATTTTTCATATTGTTTGAAATATACCGGGATATTTAAAAACCACGTGAAAATTAATATCAGTAACTGGCGAAAATTAAATCGGAAAATTAAATCGATTTACGATACTATCGGCGTAAAGTGATCATGTCAAAAAGTGATAACCTAAATGCAGGATTTAAATATAACGTATAAATTTCTGTAGAAAGGAAAAATCTTTTTGCAATAACTCTGTATCGTTCTGCGACAATGTCGCCGTGTTGCTGTGATTCTGCCGCGGGGACAATGATAGTCACAAACCAAAAAATGTGTCACATGTTATAAAATAAAATAAAATATACGTAGTTAGTAGTATAGCTTTTAAATCAAGTATGAAAACTTATTTCTGTTTATTAAGTTAGCAACAATAACAAAAGCATTAATTTTAGGATAGGTTTTCTTTTCAAAGTATAGGTAAATGTAGTGATGTCTGTTTCACTGTATTATTTCTGTTTTGGAATTTGTATGCCTTAAAGCAAATTGAATATTGTTGATGAAATATTATTTTGTTTAAAACATAGATGTAAAACATAGTTGCATAGATGAAAAAAAAAAGCATTTTTACATTTTTCATACCTAAGTGTAGGAGAAATTTCTTTAAAATTTTAACATTTTATTTATGACATCTAGTTTAAAGATAAAAAATCATAAATAATTAAATTTCATAGTTATGATCTTAAAGTTTCATTTTTATAAAGCTCTATCAAGTTTTCCCAATTATTGTATCTCACCTCTTTTTCAGTAATGTAGGGCAAAAAAATAAAGGTTTTTCATAGTGACTTTCAATAGTCCCCAAATGTTGTTGTGTTAGTTAATTTGCAAAATAATCACCTAAAAAATGTTTGCGATATACGTTACCAACTTCAATGCTCAAGAGGAACTACATCTTTTTACTATAGAAGTTGAAAAAATTGAGAAATTCAAGCAGACAGTAGTAAAGTTTCTATCCTTGATATGAGTCAGCTCTAGAATAGACTTGCATTTTGAGAGAGCATGGTACACGATATGCTCTTGATACTTAAATATCTCATCAGTAAAAGACATGCAATAAAAAAGTTGGATCATTATTCTTAATCATTATTTTTACGTGAAAAAATGAAACTTTGTTACAGCAGCTTCCCTTCAAGGTATTAACTTATATTTGTCAAATTTTGTACATGAACTAATTATGTATAAAAGGCAACTTTTGACAACCTCCATTTTTCATCACACCCTACTGTATATTGCTTAAAATAAAAAACTGAAATTGATGAATAACTTTTGACTTAATGGTAAGATTTTTCTAAACTAATCACGCTATCTTAGTTGCTCATGAATTCCTTTCTATTTGCATAGGCCTGCACACAAGAGGGGAAGCATGGCTGACTTTAATATATTTTGTTGGAAAGCCTTTCTTTTTATAGTTTTTCATAATTTGAAACTCACAAAATTTATAAAAAACTTGACTAACCTGCATTTCTGTTATTTGAACCTCTCTCTCTTTTTTTTGTAATTTTCTAATAAACTTAAATTTTTGTATCTCTTAAGAGCAAAAGTCATTCAAATTGAAAATATACAAACATTTCCTTTTCATGTTTATGATTATGTTTTTCCCTTTTTCAAAGTTTTTTCTTCAACTTGAAGCTCTGATTTTTCTGCTAAATTAAAGCAAAAAAACCATGTAATTAACTGAGTGTGCTTGTATGTATAAAAAGCAGTTAAAAAAAGATCTATTTGATTTAAACAGAACCCACATCAGATGTTCTAAGTAGCAAGTGGTAGCAATTAATTTAAAAAGTATTTTCTTTGAATACGTCTATCTCTATGAATTCTTAATTCCAAAGCCAGTACCAGGAATTTATAAATTTAATAGAAGAGTTAAATGTTTTCTTCCATCATTAAATATTTCATTTAAAAACAATCATAAAATTTCAGATATAAAAATTTCGGAAAAATCAATTAATTATATTATGTCTGTTTTTAAAACTGAAATATCATTTGCATCAATCACTTGGCATATTTAAGGTTTACTCTGTGAACCATTAAGATTTTATACAACTGCATGAAAATTCAATTATTAAACAAATTTTTTTTAGATATTCTGTTTTTTTTCTGTTTCATTTACATTAGTTTTTTTAGACTAGTTTTTTTCCTTTGATTAGTAAAGTCAAAATTACCAAGTTAACAACATAGTTTTACATGCTAAAATCTTGTGAGAGATGTTACTATTTAGGAAAAGTTTAAATAAATAAAGTCAAATAAATTAATTACCTTTTATTTTTTTAGTATCCAAGTTCAAATAACCGCCTAATTTTAAAACTTTTTTTCCCTTTTAGATCTGATGACCAAAAGGATTCATTAAAGTTGCTTATTAGTTGTTCTAGTATACAAAAACAAGGTTTAATTACAGATTTGGTTGAAAAAGATCTATTTATTAAAATCAATAATTCTCATTCCTTCCTTTTAAATATTGGTAAGCTCTTAATATCCTTGCATTATAGTAGAATCTTTTTAAATGTTTTTTTGCTGATTGCCCATGCTTACAAAAACATTTTTGTCTGAAAGTTTTTTAAATTCTTCTCATTATATTTAAGCTATTAGTTTTAAAAGTGAAAATAGTCTATCTGCTTCACTTTTGGAATCCAACATAGTTTGAATTATTTGATTTTTGTAGTAATAAAAAGTTTATTGTATAATTTTCATGTTAAATTTTTCAAAAGTTGTTGCATCATTTTCAAAAACATTGTTTTCTTTCTTACTTGAGATTTTTCAAAATTTCTAACTATATTGTAATTGTTGATTTTGAAAATGAAATATTTTTTTTAATCAGTATAGATTTTAAAAATTAAGTTATTATAATTTTTAAAATGTAGGTATGTTCCAAACTTTTTCTTTTAACTTTGTATTGCTCAATCATAACAGTGACTTCCTTAATTTAATGTCTTAACCACTACAAAGGGCCGGAGATTGTCACATTTTTAAGGAGATGTAATGTAAGTACCTTATGTATCTCAAGAAAGCTCTGCTGAATATCCAAAAGCAAATCTGAAATTAAAACCCACTTTAATTCTTTAGCCATGCGTAAGTTATGGGGTGCAGCCTTTTTCCAAATAGTTGGAAAAAAAAGATTTTGAAAGGAAATAATACTATCTACTATAGGGATAAATTTTATAATATTTGTTCAAAGTTATGTTTAATGAATAATTATTTCTCTCCTGTAGTCTTAAAAGTAATAAATAAACTTAATTAGTTGAAAAGATTTGGTAGAAAATGTTTATTACAAAATATAGACAACTTGATACATGCAAAATGATTCTGCAAAAATATTGACTCCCAAAACTTAAATTCTACACCTGCTTCAAAATAAAATTTTGTTTACTACTGTCTTCAATTTAGTACTAGCATAGCAAGTTAATTAAACTTGATCTCCAAAAGAAAATATGATAAATAAAATGGTTTTGTGTCTTAAATCAACAACCTCAGTAAAGTTGCAAATAACATTTGACTCTAAATTGTATTTTGGATCATCTTATTAATTTTGCCTAAACTTTCACTTGTTATGACATTGTTTACACCCTTATAGATTAACTGCTTTTTTAAATGATAAACTCTTTATTCTGATTGCATATAATGATTTGCTTGCAGATGTTTTACTGTACACAAAATAAGGAGAACACCATAATAATTTTTAATCTTATGATTAGATCATAATGTACTAAGATGCAACTGTAATGATTCAAGAAACTAACCTTAAATAGGCAGATTGAAGAAGAAAATATTTATTCAGACGATATTTTAAGGCCATAGTCAAACTCAGAAGTCAGACACAGGCCAAAAGTCAGACATAGTCAGACTTTTTCTGAATAAACATACTCTTTTTTTTTGTATGACATGGATTCTTGACCATCAAAGTATCGGAGCTAGCCACAGTCTGGAAAAGATGGTCCTAATATTTTAGGTAAGAGAGCAAGCAAAAATGGAAGTTCCTTAATGTTAATTTCTCTTTTCTTTTTACATTGACTAGTATGAAAAAAAAGTTGTATATTTAAATTTTCATTTCACAAAAACTATTTGACCAATTCCGTTAAAATTTGGAGTTTTGTCATTTAAAATTACTTAGTTAAAAATACTGAAAACTTTGTATACCTCATTATTCCAAATATTTTTTGACTAACATTAAAATAAATAGTGAAAAATAATATAAATTTATAAAAAATTATTTTCTACTTAGAACTATATTTGGATAAACGAATTGTGTAAAGGGCCTGAACTTTTCACTTTTCTACCTAAACTGTTGGGACCATGTTTTCTAGATTGCAGTTTTCACCGTAATTTGAAAGTTAAGAATCAAAACGATCAATAAAAGGTATGTTCTTTCAGAGAAAATACACTTTAGTATTTAATATTGTTACTTAATATATCACCTGCACACATATTGCAGCATATTTAAGATTAGTCCCTTGAATCATTAAGATTACATCTTAGTGCTTGAAAATACAATCATTAGTTTTGAGTTATTATGGTGTTTTGTTTTTTGCTTTGTGCCAGGGTTTAAGCTGAGTCTAAAAATTCATTAGCAAAAAAGCTAAAATCTGAATTTTTTTTTTAGCAAAATGCTAAAATGCCATTAGGCTTATAAAATTACTTTATATCAAACAAGTACTGTAAGTTATCTGACAAAGAATAGCTTAATGTACAAGAATATCAAAAAGAATACCTAAAAAAAAAAAAAACACATTTATTATTTATCAAAACATTTTGGTTTATAATTAACAATCTTCCTTTCTTTCATGTTTGCCCATTTTACAAATGCTTCTTGAAAGTTAAATGCACTTTCAGGGCCCTCAATATTAATCATTAACAAATTGTTTACATGGTTGATTAACAACCTGTTTCGAATATTAGTTTTAATCAAATTAAGGCAGCTAAAGCCCCTTTCACAGTCAACAGTGTGCATTGGTATTGTTGCACAATACTCTATAACAGAAGTTATTAATGGGTACTGTTCAGACACATCATTGGTATATAAAAATAAAAGTAATTCATTAAATGACATGTTTTTACATCGTTGCATTAAGATGTGTTTAAATAATCCCCATTCACAAAGTAATTCAGTTTCTGTAAACTGAAAATCTTTTCTGGGAGATTTCGAAAACAAATTGAAAATGCAACGGATTTCCTTTACACCATAATGCTGTAATTCTCTTTCTTGTTTGATCAAGTTTTTTACATGGATGTTAGCGTCATGGTTTTTCGCGGAAGTTTTTTTTTTAAATGGAATTTAGTAAAATCCTTTAGCAAAAATGCGAAAATGCTTTGTTGAATTTTAGCATTTTTGAGGGGTCTTTTNTGGATGTTAGCGTCATGGTTTTTCGCGGAAGTTTTTTTTTAAATGGAATTTAGTAAAATCCTTTAGCAAAAATGCGAAAATGCTTTGTTGAATTTTAGCATTTTTGAGAGGTCTTTTCGCATTTTGCGAAAAAAGCTACCGTAGCGGAAACCCTGCTTTGTGCACTGTTTACTGAACTTTTTAACATGTGAAGACATATACGATTTTATTTGTCTGGTATCTGTAGTTCGACTATTAATAATTGTTTTGGTGATTACCTGTTCCTCATTTATGCTTTATGCTAGCAAAATCGCACCACTTTTGTTCTGTTACATTTTTTTGAAACTTCTTAAAGAAAACAAATACTCCATATATGTTTGTCATGAATAAATATTCTTTAAATTTATTTGAAACTAATTTTTTTCTCTAAGTACTATCACAGTATTAATTATGAATGAGATATATGCTTTTTGTCAAAATCATCACTATGGCTGTGTGGATATATTGTAGAGATATAAGATATTCCCCTACCAGGACTCGAAAATTGTACTGTTTGATATGCAAAATATATTATAGTGACTATATATATTTACATGCCAATTCAGACATGTAAATATTTAATCAAAAATACCATAAAAAACCAATTAGGTTCCCCTTAAATTTTAACATAATTGCCAAGATTTGGGCAAATAAACTGCTCCAAAGAGTGGGGAAAAAAATTGGTTATATTCCATAAGGCCTAAATGTTATAGAGTTAAATAATATAAATGAGGATTTATAAAGCAAACTCAGCTTATTCTTTTTTAATCCTTCAGTTATATCTTTTCTTATTAAACAAAAGTTTATCCCAATTGTTAAGCATAAGAAAATAATTAATATCCAAGTTGAAATTGGAATGTAAAAGTAAATTTGAGAAGAACATCTCTTTTATAACATAGTTTCAGAAAGAAGTGTTAAAGGGTAGGCACTTGCTAATCATGCTTAATAATTCTGATTATAATACTTCTTTGTTTATAATAATGCTCTGTATTTACCGTATCAATCCTGCTTAGCACTTCTTTTTTTAATAATTCTTAATATTATATTGATAATATTCAATACTATATTAATAATACCAATGTAACATATTAATACCTAATACTTCTGATTTACAATCAAACTGTTGATGTAGATAAAATATATGTAGGATAATGTTATTAATATTTTTCTGACAGATTAATAATCAGTATGTTCATATGTTTTGAATTAAATGTATTCAAAAAAGATGTCAGGGTATGTCTTTTGGGTAAAAAATTAAAAAAAATTGAACCCTGCTCTCTACTATATGTTTTTTGGGGAAAATATTTAGTTTCTTGATGTGTAGGATTATGTAATTGATTTTTTTTTATAACTATAGTTAATAAGCATTTGGATATTCCAATTCATAAAATACATATTATCCCACATTTTTATCTTAATGAACATATTTTAATGCACTTACATTTTAAATGTTGAATGACCTACTATTGTAAAACCTAGGTAAACTTTAATTTTGCAGCACTTTGCTTCATTCGCAAATCCAGTTAGCATCTACTTTTTTGAAATTTAATTTATCCAAAGTTATGTGTATTGTTTTATTGATAAAATATTATAAATTTTTTTTTATTTATTGATTTTTTTGTATCAACTTTCAATTTAAATTTGTAGAAAGATTGTTTAAAGATGCTTATTTTTAGCATTATTAATTTATTTGCTCTGGGTATGAAATAGATAATGACATTTTTTTGTTAAAATGCAATTGTTAATTAAGTTTTTGCATTCAATATTTTTGAAAAGGGAAAATGGAATTTCAAAAATGAAAAATTTTGAAAAGGGAATTTCAAATTAATAGCTAGTTTTTTTCTTTTCAAAATTTCTTTTTTCTTTTTAAATATGAAATTCTTAATGTAAAAGGTTTTGAAAAAAATTAAAACACATCTTTTGATGTAAATCTGTTCTTTTAAAATTAAAGATATAAATGTTTTATAAGTTAATGAAAAAAGTAAAGTTGTGACTTTTTCATTCTATCAAATAATATTTTTCTGATCAACTGTTTTTCATTTGTGACTTGTCAAAGACTTTTATGTTTGCATTATAGAAATGACCTTAAATGATTAGTTGTCTTCTTGATTATATTTCATGTATTTTTAGCTCTTGCTACCAAATATCAAGATCATTATAAAGGTAATAATTTTCTGTATATAATTCATTTATGATAAACTAATTATTATGTGATTAATATAAAACTCTTATTTTAATAAATTTCTTTTAAATTTATTATGGTGCTTAAAATTTATTTTTAGGTGAACATTTCTTTGCTATATGCATATATATTTTTGTTAATTCTTATTTACAAACTCTTGTTATTCTATTCATTCATTTTTTTTATTTTTATTTTTTTTTTAGTTGTAGTAAATGATCACTCAAATATGGAATTTTTATTTAAGAAGCTCACACTAGAAGATTTTAGTTCCAAAAGTCTTTCTTCCAATTCTGATGAAAAAAAGATAAAATTTTCTGTTTGCACTTCAATTGATGAATGTAAGTTTATATCTTTCTCACGCATTGAATGTATTTTAATTCTTATATTTTCTTTTCATTTCTTAATATTTTCTGTTTGTGAGAATTTTTTGTGTTAATATTGATTATGTTATTTGATAATTAACTATTACAAAGATAGTTGTCAAATATTAGAATGAAAATTTATTAAAAATGTGTTTTTAAGTCTATTTATTATATTTATTAAAATAAACTGTAAGTGCCGCTTAATTTTTTAGTTATTTCATTAAATTTATTTTGAAATACAAAATATTCTAGCCTGAGAGTTAAATTTACTTCTGTTATAAAAAGATACAGTTATATATGAAGATCATGGAGAAGAACAGTTTATGTCTAAGTAAGTCTTGTACAGGATCCTTGTTTTCCTTAAAATACCTCCTCAATGAATACTTCTGTGCTAGCGTTCCTTCTTGTTTCCTTATTTATACTCTCCTTTGCTCTTCCTTGTTCTGAGGGGGTAGCAGCTTTTCTGTGGGTGGACAGCCTTTATTTTATCAGCGTTTGTGTTGTAAAGTACTCTTTTGGGGGGCAATTTTCCTTTGTGTTATTTGTGCCACTGGTTTATTAATATTGTAATTTTTTCTTTTTCGCTCCTGTAAAAGCTTGACAGATAGAGCTAAAGAAATGTAGGTATAAAAATTCTATATTACCTGGTTCTTTTCTCTCACGGATTTGGAAGATTGTTGCTATTTACCTGTAATGATCTAGACAAGTCATTTTAGGACTTAACATTCATTCTAGACAAGTCATTTTAGGACATTTTATTTGACAAGGACAACATTTAACACATAAACTGATGGAAAATAATAATCTGAGCAAAACCCTGACATCTGTTCTAGTTGAAAACTTTTTACAATCTGAAGAGAAATAAGCATTAAAGTTAAAGTTCAGAGCTTCCTCTCTTGGGCGAAAAATAAAAGTCAATCTGCTTCAAGAGCAGCTTTATTATTTTTTTTAAAAAAGTTTTAGGGACATATGATGCAGGTAGAAGCCATTCTTCGACGCCTGGTGGCTGAGTGGTAGCGCTTCGCTCTCCCGCGCGACAGGTCCTCCAGTGGGTCGATAAATGAGTACCAAGCATGCTTGAGAACTAAACACTGGGAGTTCCGCGTTCGGCTGACCACCTAACCGGAACATCTGCTCCTGCATCCCAGAGCCCAAGGTTAAGAAAACTGAGATGGGCACAGTAGGCCTTAGCCCTCTATGGGCTGTCGCGCCACTGAGTTTAGTTTAGGTAAGGAGCCATTCTTCCCTAGGCGTGCATACAGGAACTATTTTTCTCCAGCACGGCCCTGATCTTTACTGTGTATAAATCTCAGAGATGGCCATTTTTCCATGTAACTAATTGGTTAAAACTTAATAAACTTCTAAATGCAACAGATGGTATTCCGATTGTCATTTTTGTGAAAAATGGACATAAACTGTTCTTTTCCTTTGATCTGTATGCATATATATATATAACATAATAAATAAATACAAAAAAACACGAAGAAAATTAAGAAAAACAATAAGTTCTATCCTTTTTTTCGAATTCCCCCCCCGTTTTTGTTATTTTTATTATTAATTTTCTTTTCTCCCCTTTTTTCATTAATCAGTAATTTTCCTTTGTTTTATCTTCATTTTGAACTTATATATATACATAAAAGAAGCACTGTAGATTGAAAAAAAGAGTAAATTTCAAAGAATAATTAAGTTTTTTAATTCTATTAACTGCACATAAGCTGCAAGTTTGAACTTGTAATCTAAGATAATTAACCAAAGAACACAAAAACAAATAAGTGAAAGGAAAAATAATTTAAAAGGATTTTAAATGAAAAAGAATTAAAATTACTTAAAACTTAAAAAAAATCAACAATAAATTTATTACAAACTAGAAAATTAACAGGGAATAGATGTAATCCCGTCATCAACTTACATGATTATATTCACAAAATTAGTGCTCTTTGATATAAACATAGCCAAAGCAAAATATATCAATACAATAGTGTGATGAGTACCAAAAAATAAACCCTCTTAGTTAACATAATTTAATCAAGTAAAAACTGCTCAAAAATTCCAGATAGAAATTCGAAGAAAAAGGAGAAGAGAGAAAGATTTCATCCACTTATGATCAACTTGCAAAACTGATTCGATAATATTTACATAACTAAGTTGCGAGATTACAAAATATGAAATGAAAACATAATAAATAGGTAGTGGGATAAATTTTTTAATGCTCATTTATACTGAAGTGGTTGGTCTGATTGGTTAGCTACCTTGGATTTGCCCGTAAATCCAATTTGGGAAAATCCGTGTCTACTAAAAGTAAAGTTGGGTCCAAACTTTATTGTAAATAATTTGAAGTTTTATAACTAACCAGAAACCTTCTCCTATATTCAATTAAATAATAAATATTATTCAATAAATGTTAATAATTTCTATAAAAATAATTGAATTAAAATGTATTTAAAATGCGACATTTTGTTAATTATAATTTTTGAATTATTCAGTTTAATATATTATTACTTTGTTCAAGTTCAATTTTAATGCAATTCCAAGATAATTATGTTTTTATAATACATAACCTAACGGATTGTCTGCTAATTGTATTGGCGTTCGCAACACTCGAATACACCATCTGGGGAGAGACTGGTTTCATGCCTTTGGCCCTTCTCCCTTCCCTCTCTTCTTTTCAGTTGTATAGGAATGTACTACGATATTTTCCCTTTTCTTAATATTTTTCCTTTTTATTTAATAAAAATATTTTTTTAAATTTCCATGATGCATTTCTTTAGAACTATGTTTAATGTAATTTTCAGTTCCATATAGTTTTCCAACTTAAAAGATTTTAAACTATCTGAATATCAAGAGAGAAACTAGCTTCCTTCTTTCCTCTATGACTCTCCACGCGCTAATGGGGAAAGCATGTGAAGTGTTGCCATAGGTAGAGAGTTCTGCTCTACGCCACCTGCAGCCCATTTCGATCGCCAATAAGGCTTCTTATTGTAGTTCTTTTTTATTGGATTTGTTATAAAGAGTTTCAGAACTCTTGAGTTATTTTGTAAAAATACAAATAAAAAATTAATTTCATTAACACAGATTTTTAAAAAGGATAGACTGAAAATACCTTCACTTATTAAATCTTTTCAGCAAATGCATTAAGAAATCTTAAAATTCAGATTTGTTTTTTAAGTTTGTCATTAAAGTTATATTTTTTTATTCTCCTTTAAACCTTGAAAGGATAGATAAATTTGGATAGAAATTTTGGGATAGAAGAACTACAAGGATTGTGGTCCTTGTATGGGTATTCAAAATAAGATGATCAGATTTATTTCTTCTTTAAATTTTTTAGATTGCTTCATGTATGCAGTGCAACCCTTTTGCTTATGTAGATAACAATTTTTGCATATCAAATTGAAGATATTTTTTTAAAGATTTTATTTAAGGTAGGAAATTGGCAGTTACTGGTAGGAAATTGGCAGTTTTGATGAAAATTTAATGTTTTTTTGACTGTCTATATCTAAACCTTGTTCATTAGCTTTCTAAATTTTTGTTCTCCAATGTTTAGAAACATAGTTATAGTTGAGTTTTTCACATGTTGACCAATGATTTTTTGGGAATTATATACACTACCGGTCAAAAGTTTAGACTCACTCTTAAATTTAACAATCAAATAACTATAACAATTAAAATAGCAAATCCTTCCTCCCTTCCTCAATGGCACGACAGCCCCGGGTGGGCCCTGGCCTTCTCAATCAACTTCCTCCAGGCCTGCCTCTGCCTGGCAGTTGTCTTCCAGTTTGAGACTTTTAAGACTGAAAAGTCTCTTTCCACGCAGTCGGCCCATCTCAGCTTTGGTCGACCTCTGGGCCTTGATCCGATGGGCTGAGCCGAAAAGATTATGTTTGTCGGACGCTCTCTGTTCATCCGAATGATGTGACCAGCCCATTTAATTCTTTGAATTTTTACGTACTTGACAACTTCAGGCTCTCTAAGGGCCCGATAGAGTTGTGAGTTTGAACGTCTGTACCAAGTACCATCAACTTGTTTGCCCCCAAAAATGGATCTTAGGATCCNTTAATAAAATTTTTTAAATAAATTACACTTGTTTCAGAATAGGTACTTACATGCACTTTCGTTCATTTTGTTATCAACTACAGGATAGATACAAAATGAAAAAATAATTAACAGTTTTAAAAGAAAACAGAGTTTTGAGATGTTTGTTTATGATTATGTTTGATAAATTGTATGTTTAAGCCAGAAATATTTAACAATTTTTAAAAATTTTGAAATAAATACAAGTGAGTCTAAACTTTTGACCGGTAGTGTACTTAAAACACATTTTCAGATAAGTGTTGATTTTAAGAAAATATTTTTATGCTGACACTTATTACAAGAAAAAGTTCAATATAGAATTCTTTAAAACTATGCTGTAGATTTTATATAATGTTAGCTATCTTTTGAACTTAAATCTTACTGTGAATTGCTATATTTTTTTTATCATGCTTTAAGTAAAAATGTTTGGAATTTTTCTTTAAAAACCAATATTGAATAATATATTTAGTTCTCTTTCATTCTAAATTTAAAATTTTTTTGAAGATTTTATTTCTAAGCTCAGGCAACCATATTATTGATCTAGCAGAAAAATTATTTTGATATATATTCATCATAATTTGTTGTAGAAACAAATACATTAAAAATTTATAGTTTTTATGCTCAAATTTGGTCTTATTTTGAAAAAAGTATTTTATAAGTTTCTAAAATTTACTTAAAATTTATAATTTTAGGACTCCTTCTTACCAAAATTAAAATTTAAAATAAGGCTATTTTAAAAATATCGTGTTGAACCAATTTCGATATCATAATGAACTTTTTTTGTGTAATTTTATGATAACATTTTCAATTTTCATTTTAGTTGTTTACTGGTCATGCAAGCTGATAAGTAAAACATCTATCAACCATGATACTCTTTTATTCACATTTCTTCTCCCACCTGGAACAAAAATGTGGATCCCTATTGGCCGGCATGTGCAAATAAAACTAAATATTGAAGGTAGGATTTTATATATCAATCAGTTACATTTTATTTCTGCTATTAGAAAAAAATATTAAGACTGAAAAATATCCATTGTCTTTTAGTGGTAAAAAAAGCATTTATAATTTTAAAATCAGCAAAATTTTATTGAAATTTAAATAAATTCGTTCTATTGTATTTCTGAGAAATTAATGACATTAAAAGCTTGTTAAAATGCCCATTTATTATAGAATAGAGGTGCAGAACCTTTTTGAGTGAAGATGAATAAATAGCCAATTGATGGGCCTCATGCCCAAATATTTAAGCCTGTTGGCGGCAATTATGATAATTTTAATTTGTATCAAGTGTTTTAGGCTCTAAATCCTTTTTATTGTTAAAATCATAATATATTTGCATAATACTAAATGTCTTTAAGTATTAAAATTTGCTCAAAGCTGTTATTTGTTCAATTTATTCAAATATCCAACTTACTTTCCAAGAAACAAATTTTAAAAAATGAAAGTTAAAAAAACAAACAGTAAACAGTTAATAACCCACATGTTCCTGTATATTTTTAATCGAATTTCGATATTGACTAATAATGATGTATTTAAATTACACTCAGAAACTTCAAGAAAGACAATAAAAAAGAAACTTGTATTGTCTTGAACTGCAATCGGCACAAACAAAACACATTACACAAATTCCTTAGATTTGCAGTGAAATCAGCCCAAATAATGTGTACATTTAAACCCGCAATCTGAGTATTGTAATAGTTAGAGTTAAAGATATTGTGAGTTTCAAGACCATGTGAAAATGCATAGCAATAATTGCCAAAAAACTATGGAAAAGTGACGCGGACAAATGAAGCTTATCAAAAAGTAATTACTCTATTTGAAAAGTTGTGTATCATAATCACATTCAAAATATCAGGAATTTTGAGATCAAGTGGAAATTAGTGAATAACAGCTGAAAAAGTGGTCAGAAAATCACACACATTTACGATGAAATCTGTGCAATCTGAATGAGTTTATAAGTGATGACTCAATTGGGAGATTAAAAATTTCTGTTCTTTTTTATTTTTCAAAACTTATTATTTTATAAAAATAATTAATGTATAATTTATGGTCTGTGCTGCTATAATCTGCAAATTTTTTTCAATAAACAGTGTTATCAGTTTTATTTGAGTAATGAATGTTTTCTTTATGGTGATGTTTTCATGCTAAGTGAAAATGATAATTTGGTATGTGGTATGAGGTAAGATTTTTAAAAACTCTCTTACTTTGTGTCTTTATGATTGTTTTATGGTAAAATTTCTGACTAGTAAATAAAATTCTTTTAATAAAATTTCTCTTTTATTTTAATTTATTTTGTCTTAAATGATATCATATATGTTCACTTTAATTTCAGGTACAGATGTTATCAGAAATTATACTCCTGTGTGCTCAACACTGAACCCCAACTGCAATATCAGTAGTGCTTTAGATGGAAGCAAAATTATATTAATGATTAAAATATATGCTGCAGGAATGTTAACTCCCCTTTTAAACAAATTTAGTTTAGGTAAATATTCGTTAATAATGTTTTCTATTGTGTAACTTTTTAAGGTTTTACTTTTCAAAACATTGTTTCTGTTTAAGCATTAATTTGTATAAAAATTGTTTATAGTGATTTTTATTTCTTTAGTGAGATAATTAAGGAACCAAAGCTTAAAAGCTTGTATATTTTCTTAAAGAAATTGTAATTGACTGTAGTGCTAAATAGCACATGTTTAACAAGGTGGAAGTCTCAAATTTTGACTAATTGTTCTTTATGAGTTGAATAGTAAAACTAAGGATGTTTCATTTTCATATTTGTAGTTATGGAGTAATTAAAGACTAAATAGCCTAACTGGCAGCAATGAAAAGTTGTGTTTTTTCCAAGAAGTCTTCAAATTTAGACCATTTATTTTTTATGAGATTAAGAAAAAATAAAATATTTCCCATTTGTTAATATCAGGGTAATTAGCCTTAATTAGGTAATTAGGTATAATTATCCCAACTGAAAAGCAAAATTAAAGTTTTACTCGTAGAAAGAAGTCTCAAATTTTAATCATATCCAATTCTTTATCCAATAAAAAGAAATAACTAAAAACGTTTCATATAGATATTTTGTAATTATTAGGGTAATTAGCCTAAAATTGATTGTAATTTTAAAGAGCACGCTTTTACTAAGTTATAAGTATCAAATTTAGACCATGTGTTTTTTTTTGTTAGATAAGCAAAAGAACTTAAAAAGTTTAATTTTATTATTTGTAAATATCAAGGCAACTAGTGAGTTAGGGAGGCTAATTGTCAGTTATGATAAATAACCAAGATTTAAGTTTATACCAAGATTTTAGTCTTAAATTTAGACCACATGTTCTTTATGAATTAAAAAATGTCATTGATCTTTGGTAATTTTTAGGGTATTTTGAATTAATCAGAGTAATTAGGGGCCATTTAGCCTAAGTATCACAAATCCTTAATCACATGCTTTTTCCATGTTTCAAATCTGAACCATGTGCTTCTTATGAAATATGAAAAATCATCAGTAAAAAAAATCATCCTCAATTTGTAATTATTGGGCTAATTAGGGGTAATTAGCTTTTAGTTGACAATAATACTAAATAACACATTTTTAGCAAGATAAACCATTGACCATTATAAACAGAAAAGATAAATACAAAAACTATACTTTATAAGTTAAATAGGAAAACTTTAATTAGCCTTATCGAGACTTATGCTATACAACATGTTTCTACAAATTACCATAATATTTTTGGTGCAACATAGCTGAGTCCAGCTTTTGCGCCATTGGAATGCAAAGAGGCCATAAGTTTGTGTGGTTCAGCTGGTCGCCATATGCAGCTAGTCACATATAAAACTTTGATCACATAGCTCTCTGATGCTACTAATTTCATGTGATCATCTTTTACTGTTGAGATATTGTATCCAATTTTCCAGGAACTTAAAGTATTGTGGAATATATCTATCCAGTCAAGTTTGACTGGCCTGGTTTTTTCTGATAGCATAGTTTGTGTTTAAAAAATAGGCTTAAAATATTTTAAACATATTGTAAAATCTGTATTAACAATTTAAAGCAATAGCTGAAAAGAGGTGTAATTAGATGTTAAACATATCTAAAATAAAGTTTAAAGCAATTAGAAATCACAGAGATAAATTGGCAGAAAAAAACCCATAACTTCTCTAACTGAATTTTCAAAATATTAGTTTTGTCAAACATGTAACCTTTATTGTCTTTCATTCATCTCCAAATAACATGGACATATTCTTTAACTAGTATCATCTGATTTTGGGATAAATGGCAGCAGCTGTCTTGTCAAAAATGCTTATTAACGGTTTTATCCACCTACACAGTTTTGTACAATTCTCTCTTATATCACATTTTTTCTTTAAATCACTATTATTAAAAAACATTACTTGTACTAATCAAAAACAATAGGTACAACAAATCAGTGACTGTAAAATAAATGATTATTACAGTGTTCAAATTATTTTTATTTAAGTTATGTCTCAAATTAATTTTATCAATGCTTTTATTTATATTACAAGCCTCCTATTAAAATGGAGGAATGAGCATTACTTTCTAACTATCAATGTATTTTATTTTTAGTTTTATAAGTATTGTCATGAATACTTTTTTAGGTGATAGTGTCTATGTCAGTAATTACATGGGTAGTTTTCCTGAGACTTTTATTGAAAACTGTGATTGCATAGTCATGCTTGCTGCTGGGACAGGAATCACTCCAATGATCCGAATAATACAGTGGGCTGTTGCAGATGAGGATGTCAAACGGTAATAACTATTGTGGATAGACTGATTTTTTTCATGAGTTTTTTTTTTAGAAATTTATCAAACTAGTCTAATTTAAATTATTATTATTCATGATAATTTGATTTTAAAAATTATGATATAGAATTCTTGTTGTTTAATGTGATAATTTTTCAATAGCTATGAATGAAATATACTTTGCAATACTCTTAACATATCAGCAACTAGTCTAAGATTAACATAGCATGATTTATTTCTGTTGCTCAAATATTTTTAAGTGTTATATATAAGTATGCATAAGTTTATATATAATGTTATATATTACAATATATATTATGTTTATATATTACAATATATATAAGTTTTTACTTATATATATGTAAATATTTTGTTAAAATTTTCTTGATCTCATTTTAACCTTTTATAACCTTTTATTTTAAAAAAGGTTCTTTTACGAATCAACTATATGTTAATATTTAATTTTACTATTTTGTTGGTAAATATTTGATTTTTTATTTAAAATTCGAATTGTGTAGTAATCACAATGTTGAAAATTCGTAAATGTTGCTTACATTCCAGAGACATTATTTTCGAAACTGTTTCTCCTTTTACCCCACAAAGCTGGCAAAAACTATGGAATGTGTGGTAAACATGTTAAATCATGTATAAGCATAGAATATAAATGTATTTTATTCATATGTGTTTATTTGGAAAAAGGAAAATAAATCTTTTTTTTTTTGCTCTGCACTGTACAGGTACAGGTCTAGTTGGAAAATTCCACAGTAAAGTCAACCAGATGACCAAAATTTTAAAACTTAATATTTTTCAGAAAAAAAGGTATAATTTTCAGGTTAAAAAACTGACGAAATAGAAATAATGACTTTTATATATCAGTTTTCAATAAGTTAAAGGCTGATAAATGAAGGGCAACATCATTTAAAATTTTAACTGTGGTAAGCGAATCTCATACAAGTAGTTTTTTTTTTAAAAAATTCACTCTAATAATTAAAAATGGAATAAATAATAGTTAAAGTAAACTGTAACAAACCAGGTTATCTTGGACAATTATGTAGAAACATTTCACTTTTTAATTTAAAACTGAAAATTCCTAAGATGTTCTTTTGAATATTTTAATTTCAAATAAGAAAAAAAGAATAAAATGTAAAGAATTTTATCTAGTTTTTTTTCTATAGAATATGCAACAGGAAATTTGACAATTTTTCATTTGCGATATTTTTACAGCATAAAATGGCTCAATATTGAAATGTAAATAAATATAAAAATTTATTAATGTATAATCAGCCTGAATTTTTTTCATTTGCTTAGTGAAAATATCTTAAACAGTACTTATCCAAGGTTTTTAGAGTCATTCAGTATTTACCATAAGCAATACATTAAAAAAAATTATTCAATAAAAACAATATACTCTACAAGCTAAATATATTTTCTACTCATCTATCTAAAAAAATTTAGTCTAATTATTTTTTTAAGATGGTATATTAAAAAAATAATATCTTAGATAAAATACTTTATAATATTGACACGTTTCTTGTACCCATCCCTGCACTTTTTGAGAAAAGCACCCTGACCTGGACAAACCCTGACCTGTAAATTCTTTTTACCTGAAAAACCTGGAAAAAATCAAGGAAATTTGAAACCTGATTTGAGTGATTGATCAGTGTAGAGTATATCATGCAGTAGCTCTTAACCTTAAAAAAATATCGATGTAGGTTATACTGGGCAGTGTTATTTAGTCTCAAATAAACATCAGTGTAGAGTATATTGAACAAATGTGTTCCAGGCAGTGGCCAGTAATATTTTGAAACAATATTAAAATTTATGAACTTAAAATTTCAAAAATTATTATTTGTCAATAGATAAAATGATATACAAAGGAAAAAGAACTGAACTTTTAAAGATATTTTAAGTTAAATCTGCATGTTTATTTCGTCTTTTTATTTATTTCAACTTTCTTATTTTCATACGACTTGTTTCTTTCATCTTTTTACTAAAACAGTTAAGGGATATGATTAAATCACTTAATTTTTTTTTAGAGACATCACCCCACAGAGTTATTATTTTAACATCTTCCGGGAACTTATCATTTACCCTAGGATCAGATTGAATCTCCGTTTTTCTAATTTTCCTGCAACATATACTTTCTTCCATTGACACTTTTATGGGCAGGGGTTCCCAAATTTTTTTAAACTTTCTAACCCATTTTTTTTAAGAAACTAAGAATATTGATTTTTTTCAAAAATGAGCAACATGTGTCCCTTTTAAAAGATTGTTTTTGAATTTTTCTTTCAATTAATTCAAATTTTTTTTCAAAGATTATGAATTTTTATTTAAAAAAATAATGTGATTATTATTGAATACTATCAAGGAATTAGCAATAACTAATATTATTAAACTGAGTAGTGACACATGTGTTTTAAATAATTAAAAATTAGATAATTTTTACTTGATTATAAAGGTAAATTACTAGTGTGTCTTTTTTAGCCTTAAGTGAAATCAAATATAAAATGTTTGCAATTACTCTGCAAACTTTATATGTTATGTCGTTTTTTTCTTATTTTGTATAACATTGCATGAAATGATTTTTAAAATATTTATTTTTAAATTAGTAATATTTATTTTTTTCAAAATTAGTAGCTTCTGATATAAATAAATATGCTTCAGAAATATTAACAAAACCAGTATGAAATATAATTATAATATCTAAAAATCGTATGCTTAACTATCTTGATTGAATGCTTTAACTTTTCCATAGATCACTGCACCTGCTGTTTTTTAATAAAACTGAAGATGATATATTATGGAGAAAGGAACTTGAAGATTGTAGATTATCATATGAAGAGTAATATTTTATATTTTAATCTATACAATTTAAAAGGATACAGTCCGACCAGAGAAAAATGTTATATCCTAAATAAATTTTGATCTAATGTTCAGACTTAGATGCAATTTTAATGGCTTGAGAGACAATCTTCAAATATACGAGTTAATTAGTGCAAATATTATTTTAAGTGATAGAATCCAAAACATATCCTCTCTGAATAAGCATCTATCTTTTTTTGAAAGATTTGGATTTTTTGGGGATGTGATAGTTGTAGTTTGGAAAATATGGCTCTAGTCTATATAAATCCATGGATAGTCCAGTTATATAAAAAAGTGGTTAAAAGATTTAGCCCCTTAATAAATATATTTTTTTCATTTTCATTATCTATTTAGTAATGAGATTAAATTCTAAAGTCGAAAATCTTTTACATAGTTATAACTAATACAATTTGAAGTAGCAAAATCCAAAATTTAAAGGGAATTGATTGAGTAGTTTGTGAGAAATGAAAATTAAAAAAATAATAATGAAAAATGGGATATCATTATAAACATTTGTTCTTTAGGCTTAGATAATTTCGCTTTATATTTGTGTCCAGAATTTTTTTTTTTTTGATTTGTACGAACAGTCCAAATGTAGGATGAAATATGAAAAAGTGAAACTAACATTAAAAGGCTCAAACTATCAACTGCTCTCTTGATTAAATTTTAAAATTATTATGACCCACATTTTGAGATTCAAAATATACATATGTTGAAAAAAATGTTTATTACCCTAATAACATTTTTGTGTATCATTTCATAACCTAAAATATTATCTGCCCTAATTAATTGTCAATGCATCCTAATATATGTTAAGCAATTATTCAGGCAAAAGTTATTCAGCATATAATGTTTTTCTTGGTGCTCTGTATATGCTACAGAATCTATTAGAAATTATACTAGTTTATCTCAAGTTATATTACTTTCTATGACATTTAAAATTGTCTTATTTTGTTTCTGTACAGATTTCAGATTGATCACATACTTTCAGTACCTAATAAAGAGTGGAATGGATGCAGTGGCCAAATAAATAGAGATATTCTTTCACAATTGATAAAAGTTAATCCTGCCCATACTAAACAACGATTTTTAATTTGTGGTCCACTTCCTTTTAGTCAAACAGCTTTAAGGTAATTTTTCTTATTTTAAGTAAAAATGCATAAAATAACTGAAGTATTTTACTTTGGTGGTTTAATAGCAATGTTTACTTCGAAATCAATTTTCACTAATACTTTTTTAAGTTCTTTTTCTTAAAAACAATAGTTTAAACTAACTGACTTTTTTTTTAAAAAATTATTAATTTAAGTATAAAATTTTCTTATACAATATAATTATTAAAAACATTGATTAGAATATAATTTTTTTAGTGTTATTTCATTCATAATGAAGATCATTTACTAAGAAATAATGTAAGGGATATACAAATAAATTATTGTATTTTAAAATAGACTTAATGTGGATTATAATTTTTTATTATAATTAATTATAATTAATTATAATTTTCCATTCAATGTATATAAAATACTTGCCAGCCAGCAAAAAATTCATTTCAATTACTCCCATTTAGTTTAGTGCTTATTTAAATGCAGTTTGTATATGTAGTCCATGTATATCATGACTTGTTCTACCTAAAGTATATCAAAATAATTTTTTTCAGCTATGATTTCTGATCTAAACTTATTTACTCTTCATTAGATATCTTATTGAAAAATAGTCTCCCAATCTTTAACATTCATTAGCAAATTGAGCTTGAAAAATATAACTATGATTTTATGTAGTCAATGATTAGTTTTTAATAATTGAAAACAAATTTTTACCATTGTAGTAAGAAATAACTATTTCACCTTAATATTGGTTTTAAATAATATTAAGAATTATTAAAGCATTTCATCAGATTATTTGGTTGGTAAATGTAAAAAATCAAGAAATTCTAATTTAAGTTTAAAAATAAAGAACCCAGACTTAAATCAAATAAATCCTTTTTTAAAAAAAAATATTTTTGGCAAACCTGCTCTTGGAGGTCTGAGCCCAAAGAATTTTAAACCAAGCCCACCTGAGCTTAAGATAGAAGCGTGAGATTGCTTAGACTCTAAGCCCGAGATTGAATAAAAGCCAAATTTTGTATTTTTGCCACCTGACCTTTAATGTCTGAACAAGAGAATTTGTCATTAAAACCATTATTATCACTTACTTGTAAACCCAAATGGGAAGAGAAAAATCTTGAATGTGAAAGAAGTCGAAGAATTGTCAACAACAGCAGACAGTCAAGTTCTTGTATTGTTTTTAAGATTTCTAATTAGAAAACCTTTTTGAAAACGGCAATAATTTCTTTTTATTTTGCTTTCTGCTTCTTCAACTGCGTTATTATGTAAGACTCTCTGAGTAAAATAGTAAAAAGGTTTTGTTAGAAAGTAGTAAAAAAGTTTATTCAAATTTTCTGATAAGTCTAAGACAGTCCAAGCTTGAAATTTTTTTTTAGTAAACAAGCCCGGGCTCGGGCTGAGCCAATCTCATATCAAACACATATTGTTTACTTTAATATTTATTCTAACAAGTCTCACAATTTGCTTTCTTTTTCTGAATAAGACATTGAGTGATGCTGGTTATTTATAACAATATTAACTTGAAGAAAAGATCTTTCGTCCCCACATTCATTTCAATTCTATAATGAAGCACCATAATTTTGCAGAGAAACGCCAGCCTGGTATATACGCTACACATTCAAAAATCGGCTAAAAAAAGCTTTCCATTGGATTAGCTGCACCATCTGACGTGCCGAATTTTATTATACTAGTGCAGATATTGATTACAGACTTAACGCATGCTCCAAATACGCATGTATATATAATTTAAAAAGTTAAATAAAAACCAATAAAAGGATATTGAATATAAAAGAAATAGAAACAATCCTAGTATATAAAATAGATTTCAATAACTTTTTAAGTAAAATTAAGCATTTCCTAATTTTAATTTGAAGTAACCATTAAAATATGAATAAAATAATTAATATATCAAAAACCATTAAAATAAGTAATAAAATAGTTAAAAATAAAAATGAAACGATCTTACTTTTAAATCAACAATCCAAAATCTTGTTTTAGAAATAATCGATAAATCCAAGCAAATTTTGTTCAAAGAAAAACTAACGAATAATTTATTTATATATTAAATGTGACTATATATTCATATCATTGCACTTAAAATCCCTCAAAATCAGAACTCATTGTATCAGAGCAAATTAGGTTTATTAGTTCATTGTTTATTTCGGGTTCATCCCCGTCACTCACACTTTCATCATCACTTTCGGTTTCATTTTGTCCGAGGATGATTTCCGCTTTTTTTAAGCCATTTATGACAGTTTCTTTTTCTCTTTTAAAAGCTGACAGCTTAACTGAAGTTGTATAATTTTTCCTCTTAAGGACGCATATAAAATGTATAACTTAAAAACAGGTTATACTAACATTTAAATAAAAAAAATTTAAACAATACAAAAATAATAACGGAAATAGTATAATCGAAGCAAAAATATAAGTGAAAGAAAAATGTTAATAAAGCAAAAATGCAACAGAAAATCAAAATTGAATATTAAACAATAAAAAAAATAAGCTGAGGAAGATGACAAAGACAGAAATATGAGCAATGAAAAATCCCAAGAAAAACCGCTCTTCTATTTAAAACAATTTTGTATATTCCCCATTTCCACCCGCTACTTTCGCTTCTTAAATCAGGCTTCAGAAAACAGCTCTTTATTTAACTGACTCTGCCTAGGACGGTTTTCCTTTTATCTGTGTATGAAATTCTCACAGATTGCTTTTTCCCCTCTTCATTGACCTTCACTTGAAAGTTTGGAATTCTTCTAATTGCAAGAATATTCAAGGTCACCCCAAGCTCATTCGCACCCTTTCTTCATCAAATATTCACGTGTTTTTAACAACCAGCTGAAGAAAAAAGGGGAAAAAAGAGGCATCCCATGATAAAAACCATGACAAGTGGAAGAGACATATTTCCTGGAAAAAACCGGGGGAGGGGCAAAAAGATTTTGTTTTAGAGCTGTTGTTATCACTGGCACCACTCTGATTTTCTTCATTCATTCGTTTCTGATTAAAAGAAAAAAAAAGTAATACTATATAGGCTGCCCTGTTAAATATGCCTTCCTTCTAAATTTTCAAGTTTTAAATCAATAACGCTGCAGCGTATCTCTGTGAAATTACGGTATATGAATCGATGAAAAGAAAAAGTATTATCTCTATGTTGGATTTCTGTTATGTGTAAAAGTTTCAATAATAATATTCAAAATATGTCTGCAAATCTCCAATATGCAGATAATTTCATTGCTATCACTCTAGAAAATTGTTTTGTATCTAAAAGGTTTGTTTTTGCAATAACTCACTGTTTGCCTTTTTTTTATCACATGGTCACTGATTGGAACCGACTAATCTTTCTCCTTTTGTTTGCATTTTTTGCAGCAGACATAGTTTTTCATTCCATTTGGACAGCTTAAAATTGCCTTTGCACTTAACCCAATATAGTTAAACGCTCAAACAAATAAAGTTTATATTCATTTCAATTTTTAAAATTTCTAACTGGATTAAAACCAACTTTTTTCAGTAAACTACTAATTTTTTTTAATTGTTACATCTAGTATATAATTGGAAAGAAATTCTTTTAATTTTGAAAGATGAAGAGAGTTCAGGGTATCTGCAAGGTTATGAATGTAGAATCTACAGTCATTTTGAAAAAATGTAATTTAAAAAAAAATGTTTTTTGGACATGAGCAACAAATAAAATTTTAGAGAAGCGAGTAAGATTAAAAAATTTATTTTCCTTTTGGAGTCCTCATATGCTTCTTGATGGAAGAGTAAATACATGCTTGAGGTCAAAAATGTTTAGTGTTTTTTGCAGTTTTGATTATTCATATTTTTCTAATCAAAATTTCAGGTTTTTTGCAGCATTTTTAAATTAATTGCATTATATTTCATTAACATTTTTTACATTTTATCTTTTACAGTTGCTTAAAGGAAATGGGTTATAGTCAAGATGATATTTATACATTTACTGGCTCATAATTATATCTAATTTTAACCGCAAATTTTGTGTGTAATTAATTTTAAGATGTTGTATATCTTCAAATGAATGAATAAAGGTATTGATGTTTTTTCTGTGTTTTGCACTTTTCTAATAAGTGATAGTTTTAACGCTTGTTTTGTAGAGTTCCCTGACAAAATTGTTATTGATTGTTAAGTGTCAAAACCTGTTAAGTTTGATTTGTACAATTTATGATTTTATTTATTTTATAGTATGTAATAATTTTGTTTCATCATAAATTGTTTTAGTTTTTTTTGTTTTATTATTTTTATTGTGTCAATAAGAACAATAGAATTTAGAGCTTAAAAAAATGCAACAATATTGAAATCCATTTGAAAAAAATATCTATATATAATTGAACATTTTTTAATAAAATAAAAAACTAAATTTTTTTTTATATTTTAGAAAGTTAACTGTTTTAGCACTGTATTTTAAAGCTATAAAATATAAGTAAGTTTTGTTCAGTTGGTAGACCAATTTTTTTAGTTTCTGTCTTTCTAAATAGCTTATTAATAATTAATTTTACTGTTTAGTACTTACATTTTGCTTAGTATTATTTGATTGATACTAATATGTTTTCTATATTGCATAAAATTAAAGATTGTTTTTAAAAAAAAGTATTTGTAATTATTACTTCATTCTAAAACTTTATAAGAGAGCAAAATATCTGGCCGCAGATAGTTTAAGATAAAAAGCTATAATAGACGCCTTAGGTTCCAATTTGTAATGAAGAGGAATATGTACGTATGTGAATGTAATCTATTTGCATGACATTTTGTGTTTCTTTTAAATTACAAATTCTACAAAATACTTTGTAAACTTTCAAGAATAAAAACCGTTTGAGTTTTTCTTTTGTTAATTTGTTGTATAAAGTGTGCATATTTGGGGAACAAAGAAATAAGACTGCTTTCTTTTATTGTTAACAAATAAGTTTCTCCAGTTTTTTGTGTTTGTTTATATTATATATTTATGTAATTTTTAGAGTTTATTTCAAAGCAAGTATTCATTTATAATTGGATAATAATGTCTTATTGCAGTTAAAACTGAAAAAAAAAGGTTATTCCACAATATTGTAAACTTAAAAATAGACATTTATTTGAAAGAGAAAAAATTTCTTTTGTTCACCAGTTTGCTTTCTGTAACTGCAACAACTTGGTGTTTACAATTTTATTCTTGAAAGAATCTGATTTTACTTTTCTTATACATTTTTTTCCTTTTCTAGCTAATCTAGTTCTGTGTGATGTTAAAATAGTAGAAAAATAACTGTTGGATTTGAGAAAGATTTTATTAACTAATAATGTAATATAAAATATAACATTTTCTTCTAAATTTAGTTTTTGTATAAAAATGAAATATTGATTTAATTTTTTGTGAATTTCATTTTATCAAAACAGTTAAAATTTTATATAATCTATGTGTGGATATAAAAAGTAGTTTTTAAAAATCAATCTTGAAACTTTCAAAGTTTACATTAATTTCAAGCTACTGTTATGAAGTTTCTTATCCTCACTGACATAATTTTTTTTATGATAAATGGATTCTGTATCCACGCAAACTTTGTAAAATCAAGATCACCAAAATAATTCGAAAATTGAAGCAAAAACCATTCAAGTGTTCCACAAAGAGATTTTTGTTTGCTTCTATGTTAATTTAAGCGTGGAAACATGTCAATCTTATTTTTTTGCAAATTTGATTTCCGTAGTTCCACTTTTTTAATAATTGCTTTCACTTTGTATTTTTATAAAAGCAAATGCATTTGCAATCCTTGCATTGGTTTATTAAGAACACTCAATTTTTAAAAAATGTCAGCCAAATTTGTAAGTTTAACGATAAAATTATCATCTCTAAACATATTGCCGTCTTCATTATGATTTTCCTCGAGAAACATAGCAATTTCTTCTTTGAGTTCAAGTACCCTTTGAATCACTTTTGCACAAGATAACCAGCGCACTTCACAATAGTACAGAAGTGACGTGTAATTAGCTCGCATATCTTCAAACAGTTTTGCGAACAACCTTGCTTTTAATGGACTGTTTTTTATGTATTTTATAACTTTCGTTATTTTTGCAAAAACATTGTTAAGTTCCTCGCTTATAGTTTTTGATATGAGAGATGCTCTGTGGAGCATGCAGTGCATCCAGAGAACCTCAGGTGTTTTCATTTTAACTAGTGTCAGAAGACCAGTTTTTTGTCCCACCATTGATTGTGCGCCGTCAGTACAGAGCCCAATGGAATTATTCCACATTATGTCGTTCTCATTAAAAAATCTGTCTATTATTTTGAAAATTTCATTGGATGTGGCTCTGTCAGGAATTGGTTTGCAAAATAAGATATCTTCAATTATATTAGTATTGTCAACATATCGAACATATGCAATTAAATGTGCGTCTTTAGCTACATCAGTAGCTTCATCTACTTGTATGGCGAATTTTGTGGTACGCATTTGAGAAACTAATTGGTCACAAAGATCTTCAGATATATCATAAATTCTTCTGCCAATTGTATTATCATCAAGCGGTATTTGTCGCAGCTGATTCGCATAAGATTGGCCAAACATTGTTTTGACCATATCAATAGCTGCTGGCAAAACTAAGGTTTCTGCTATTGTGTGTGGGGTTTTTTACATTGCGGGCTCTGTACGATACTAGGTATGATGCTAGTAATGCATTTGATGGAATATGAAATTTTTTTTTTGAAATTTTGCTTGTTTTTAGATAACTCATCCAATTTTCTTTGAAAAAATTCTTGGGGCTTACCAATGTATTCAGAATGAATAGTTTCAAGGTGCCGTTTCAATTTGCCTGGTCTCATACTATCAGCAGCCAAAACTTTTGAACACAACAAACACATCGGTTTTTCCACATTATCGTTAATAATATTAGTAAATCCGAACGATAAATAGGATAAGTCGTATTTCCTTGTCTTGGGAGTTCTTCCTTCCTGTTCCTTGTGGCTTGTATTCCCACTACTTGTGCCAACATCAGAATCTTCATTGTTAGTGGATTTTCGCTTATATCCTATCAAAAACTTATCCATTTGTCTTGAAATATTAGGAATAATATTATATTATTCTAAAAAAATAAAACTATTAAATTACTTACTATTATGATCAGTGGGCAATCGCGTCAATAACAATAGAAGCACAACCTAACACTGCTGAACCAATTAAATATTAGCTGTGACACGAAACAAATTGGTGAGCTAAACGTGCGTCGATCTTTTCTGGATGTGTGGTATCCAGTGGCGTTAGTGCGCGCGCATCTGGCTTTTGTTAAGTTGGGTTGGTCGAGTGGTACTAGTGTCGTCAAATTAACGACGGCCTTGGTTCATAAGATTTGCCGGGGTCTAGGACGTCTAGGTATATGGATGCTAAGTTACGAAATGTTTAGTTGAACTATGCGCGATAAAGCACGATGGTATTTTTTCATTTATTCTCTCATTTTTATATAGTAAACTTTAGCAGTAATTTGGGAAACTGTTCACTGTGACTAATTTTTGCGGCTCCCTTTAGACTAGTCCGCGCCTTCCAGTTTGGAAAACGCTGCCTTAAACAGCCATAGGGGTTATTTTGACCCCTATAAGAAAGGCATTCATTTTTGAGGTTTTATGTCTGTTTTTGGTTTTGTAGAACTGCAAATATTATGAAGATGAATTGTAGAACAGAAATTGGTCCACCGTGTTAAAAAATGTCATGTGCAATCATAGGCGTAGTGTGAGAGGGGCACGCTTTTTATTTTTAGAAAACTTAACTTTTTTTAAGTGTTATGTATATATGCATATTCATTTTTATATGTAGGCATGTTTATATATAACTGTATGTATAAAACATAAAATAAATGAACTGTTTTCTAAAAACAAAAAGTGTGCCCCTTCTCACGCTGTACTTATGCGCACAATAGTTTTCCTAAAACTATATTGTATCTTAGACTCGATTACCAAAGTAGCTTAGTTTACTAAGCTATTTCGTTCCTATTGAATTATAATTTCGATATTGCATTTGAAAGAAACCATGTACATGGTGATTATAAGCAGCTATATTTATTATAATCTTTTATAAGATGGTGTTTTTGGGGAGCAGTTATTATTATGTAAATGATAATGAAATTTATTATATGATGTTCAAGCCATTTAACTTTGATTTCAACTGATGTAAAGTTCAAAAATATTTGTTATTTGAATGGCTATTTTTTGTGTAAGTTGAAAAACGGACAAATGAACTACGACCTAGGAAAAGTATAGTGCTTTAATTATGAAACTACACCTAAACTCCAGGCGCATTGGAATTACTGGCTTTTGCCTCTGTAAAATTTTCAGATAAATTTTTTTTGTGCTTTTGTGAAAGAATAATATGTAATACAATATTACATTATAATGTAATATTGTCATTACGTTAATAAAAAAACTTTGATTCTGTAAAAACTCTTACATAATGTAATTTCAACAAAATTCATCTTTAAAAAAAACATTTACTTTGAAATTTCATCAATTTCTTATGAGGGTCAAATTGACCCCATGTGGCAGTTTTAGTTTAGGCAGTTAGTTAAGTCCAAAATCCGGCTGTTCTAGTGTTAAAACATCTATAGCCAGCATTATGGTAGAAAGTTGATTAACCATGACATTAATGCCTGAAAAAAACTTTGTATTGGTTAATCAGTATTTAAAAATCATTTTTCTGTAAATTTCCTTACGGTTACACCCTTTTTTCATCTGCTCAACCCCTCAATTATTGTTGTAGGATATTAATAAGTTTAAAACAATATCATAAATATTTTGTAACTAGTATATAGAAGCTACCTTTAAAAACTATTTTTATGTGTTTTGTTAATCCTTCTGTCATGGAGTTAGAAGCCTTTTAGCAGAAACAATAATTTAAGTGTTCTTCCAAGTGGCTTTCAATGGTTGTAAAATCATTTGAAATCATATCTTTAAAAAAATATAGTAATAACTAATATTTTACTGACCTTTTTAAGTGTTAGCCAAATGTCTTATTAGAAGCATTTTTTTATACAGCTGCTTTAAGTTGTTAAATAATTCTTCATTAAATGAGGAAGTCTACTACAGTGCTAGAAAAAAG